TTGTTTTGGTCAATTTGATCGTCCACACCGATAGACAGTATTCAGAAAGAGACAGAGAGAGAGAAGAGGGGAGGAGTTGATCTTGCGAGAACTTCGACTTCAAGCCACTTTCCATTTCTTACCTGTCAGGTCATCCATAAAATTTCTGTACCCCTCTCGAATCTGTCGTCTTTCTGCTTCATCTTGACGATTACAAATGGACCGCTGCACTTCATCTTCTTGTTCTTGAGACTCAAACATTCCACCAGGAATGCTAACCTTGCTTACCGCCATTTTAGTTGGTGTTGATTAAAAAACCAAAACAACAATTAGGCGTTCAGGCCTATTTTCAATGACCACTCGCGACCCCTCTCACGGCTTAGGTCATTCTCATAATTTGGTCGTTGGCTGAGTGTCAGTGGCGAGTGAGTGAGGAGTGAGGCTGGTGGCACTGACTGGCACTTGGCACTTGGCAGTAGCCTACTTCGCACTTTTCAACTTTCAGTTTCAAGCACAGAATTCTGTGGTTTCAAGAGTTCCCAGTTCCCAGTCCAGTCCAGTGTCCAGTCCAGTTCCCACTTCCCAGTTCCCAGATTTTTAGAATCGTTCCCTCGCTTTATTCCCTTGATGTCGGTATTGCATCACTTTTTCTACCCCTGTATGGAAATTCTTTTACGATAACGTGCTCTCTCGACTTCGAAATGAATAATAATTTGTTAATATAGAATTTGTCATAAATTGCAAACAGATGACATAGGGCCTCGGCTACTATCTAAAGCGACTGTAGAAACGTATAAAAAGCAAAGTGATTAACTTGGTACGCAAATTGATTCAACACCGCACTGCATAGCACAGTGCACAGATATCCACTTGTCAATAGACCACAGAACTCAGAATTCTGTGCAATAGACCTAAGGCAAGGACGTTAAAAGCCATAGTCCCTGCATGGGCCACGGCTTACTTCCCTTTGCAAATAAAATGTATACTTCCAATTTAATTTATTATTAGGCCTATTACTAGGCCTTCTCAGGGGAGGCCGTATATCCAGGACGATTGGCCTCGGCATTGGAGGCCTACCGCGTTCCCGGAGGGTAAATGCGAAAAGCGGCGATAGACTAATGTGCTGGTGCGGGTGATGGAGCATTCTCGCGCAGTACTCACTAGACTGGCCTACATGGAACCTTACTTAAATTCAATGTATTTTTTGTTGTTGCTGCTTTGTTGTGAGAGTTTATCGGCTCTTGTAAGAAAGGAAGATCACATCAGTGACAGAGTGTATCAATTCGTCAACATGAAAATGAATTACGTTCGCATTTTACCATGAAATACAGACCGTGACACACAAGTGGGATAACTTTGGTTCTTCACTTGCATCGGATAGCCTACAAGAGACACCGTTCTCATTCTACATGTTTAAACAAACATAAAAGAAAATTAATTTCACAAACACACACACACACACACACACACACACACACACACACACACACACACACACACACACACACATGTCGATCTTCAGATGGTGTGCAGACCATTTTAGATTAGACAGACTAAACGGCTACACACTACAGACTACACACATTACTATTACACTATCGGCACGCAAAAGCGTAATGCAAAAATGTTCCACCACCTGTATACGTTTTAGTATTAGAGCATCTACCTGTCGCCGCTTTTCGCTTTTAATTGACGCTTTTCACATTGATCCTCGATAAGATAAGAACCGGTCTCGAGGCGAGCTTATCAAGATAAGGTCGCCCACCCCGGCCTCCATGCCGTAGCCAATCGTCCTGGATATACGGCCTCCCCGGAGAAGGCCTAGATCTAGGCCTATTATGAAATTAAAGAAATCGGCATTTTGGGGCCAAAGAATAATTTTTTTCCCATTTTCTTTTTTTGGTTGGGGGGGTTGGGGGTTCTATTTGCTTTTTGGGTGCGTTCATGTTTACATCTACAAATCTTAGTACAATTTTTGTGTGAAATCAAAGATATGAGCATTTTTCTGGCGAGTTTATCAATTATTGTCGATTTTGTGGGGGGCTCAGCTTCTTTTACATCCATTCTAAAACATATTTTTGTGTAGATTTTTCTGAAAAACATTGATTAAAGGCACACAAAAAATGAAAATTTTCAGTTTCAAAGGACTCTCACGGGATGTAATTTAATTTATGGAACTTTGGCGGCCATTTTCTCGCTAATTTTACTTCTGAAATCAGGCGACCCTGTCCCTTTTCAATTGCAAATATTTCGACTTCTATTCAACATAATAGATGGATATATTCTATAACCAAAAGGGAAGGCAAATGAACAGACTCTAAGATTGATACCAATCCCATAAGCCCAAAAATTGACGAACGCCTGATTTAACCATGTCGTGACACTTATTATTAATTGATTTTTTTGTTGACCAAGAATTTTAGAATCTAATCTTTTGTTGTTCTTTTACATTCAGCCATCCATTCCGTGCAAGGCTAGCCTGGAGGCTCTCGTGGCCTATAGAGGGATGTTGGCCTCTCATTCAAAGGTCACGAGTTCGAATCCGGGTAGCGACCGAAACATTTTCTTCTCTAAAATTGTCTCCTTTCACTTCCTATCCTGCTCTCTAGAATGTTCCATCGTCTGCTTTCGTCTCCTCTTTCTGTCCCTCCCCCCTCACCTCATTTTGCCCCCTCTTGATCTCCTAACTCTTTCTGCAGCCGTTCTACTGCTACTCCTTGGCTCCTTCTATGCTGTCTTTCAGTCACACCCCTGATCTTCTGGTAGGAAAGATCTACACCTAGCCTTCTCCGATAAAGGCGAAAAATCTCGGCGAGGGCTAGTGTGCAAGTTGCGCACGTTAAAGATCCCTCGGTGGTCTAAAATCGATAAGAATAGGTTTCGGTCGCCACCCGGGGCAAATTTCCAAATTTCCTACCAACTGAAAAAAGTTAAAGTGTCCCGCGCGCTCATAATATGCAGTTGCCAGCGCCGTAAAACACTTAGGCTACCCAAAAAAAAAAAGAACAAAAAAGGTTAGCCTAGATCCATATATTTTGATGGGATCGAGTAATTAAATAATTCGAATTATTTGAAACGTCGTGTTCTGCAATAGCTCCCGTGCTAATCAAAACGCCGCGTTCTGACAAGCCCCGTGCTATGAACACAGAGTGATCAACTTGACGGCTTGCTAGTTTATCCAATCGCTGTTGCCACCGCTTACAACTATAGTAACCTAACAGCCAATCAAATGTCTTGAGGTCTGAGGAAAGGATGAGCCCGTTCCCACGAACCTCGTTAATGAAACCCATCTTTAAAAAAGATAGAAGACTTGAAAAAAAATAACACTGCACAGAGGGCTCGCGCTGTCCTTGCCCTGACAATGGGGTGAACGTTTACGACACATTTTCCCCCAGTGACACAGTTACCTACGCTCCCATTGGACCTTTGTAAGGTACTGTTTGCTAATTACTGCTTTCCTCGACTACACGGCCTAATCCAGCTCTGAGCTCGAGGAGTGCTGTGTATGCATGTGTGTGTGTGTGTGTGTGTGTGTGTGTGTGTGTGTGTGTGTGTGTGTGTCGCTGAGATTTAACAGTTATTCATTACATCAAAACACTTTTGAGGCAACTTTTTCATCAGATGAAAATTAATTAAAGAAGTTTGGAGGCGAAGCGATTTCGTCCCCAGCATCCAGAAGAATTTAACGTAGCCTAGAACAAAGAGAGAACAAAGAGAAGGAAGACAAAGGTCACTCTTCTCGTTTGAATGGTTCTCAAAATGCCGTGGCTCGCCGTGAGTATGGAAAAATCACCACTGTTTTGTTCTTATTGCTTGCTATTTGGTGGTAAAGAAGTGAACGCAACCTAAGCCCCACCCAAATTTTTGTTCACCCACCGCCACTGATTATATCAGGGGTAAGATCAGGGGTATGGCTGAAAGTTGAAAGACAACAGTAAGAAGGAGCCAGAAGAAGCAGTAGAAAGTAGAAAGGCTACAGAAAGAATCAGGAGCCCAGAGGAAGGGACAAAGGAGGTGAGAGGGTGGGGGCAGAAAGTGGAGACGAAAGTAGACGACAGGACGTTGCTATATATATATATATATATATATATATAATATATATATATAATGTATATAATAGAGAGCTGGAAAGGACGTGAAAGGAGAACATTTTGGAGAAGAAAATTTTCTGTTGCTACCCGGATTCGAACCTGGGACCTTTGGAAAGGTGAACACCTTTACCTCTAGACCATGAGAGCCCCAGGTGTTGAGTTTAATGAGCAATTAATTACTATGATTATATGGACAGCACCTCTTTATATTATTTGTTGGATATGCACGTCGAAATATTTAAGGTCTTTTCGAAATCATATAGGCGCATGCGAAAAATCAGAGCAATTCGTCACTTAGATTCGGTGTAATGAGGTCAGCATGTCCATTGGTGTTGCTCAGACTATATTTGTTTCTGACATTGTTTGCACAAAAGTAGTCTAGTTCACCTCTCGTAGATAACAGTAACAAGCGCAACTCGGTAGGCCCTATGTCCTGTCCGCAGTGTCGCCATAGCCTACATAATATTTATTTCTGCGCGCACTTACTGTTCTAGGCCCATTGTTCAGTACAACGTATTTCTACAGTAATTCCTTAGGCCCTACCTATCTCCTTTGGAGAACCTACGATCAGTGTATTGCGATAAAGTTAATATTTTGTCCTTAGGTAAGGCACAATACCCTGCTTACCTCACTGGTCACTCGACTCAGGTGAGAAATGAGTAGGCCTACATGGCTATCGGTATTGTATGCTCCCCAAAGAGTTGAGAAGTTACAAACAAGTTTTTTTTAAAAAATGTATTGGTTTGCCAGGGGGATAAACAATGTAAAGCCTGGGAGACTGCACTGTGCGGGAAACGGGCTCTTTGTCTTGAAGAAGAAGAAGAAGAAGAAGAAGAAGAAGAAGAAGAAGAAGAAGAAGAAGAAACTCTGTCTGTCTGTCTGTCTGTCTGTCTGTCTGTCTCTCTCTCTCTCTCTCTCTGTCTCTCTCTCTCTCTCTCTCTGTTTCATTTGTAGCACTGTGCGTTCCGTAACCTCACTGAAGTTAGAACGAATGAATTTCCATATATCTGTCTGTTCTTGCTTTTTTTTCTTGGAAATGTATCGTTTACTGAAGGTCGATAATTGAAATTCTGATGTCAGTGGGTGACTAAGGTCACTTAATCAGCATTATTTCCGCCTTTTTTTTTAGAACGTTTGTTTTGTTCCTATAAATTCAAAGAAACTTAGATCTAGATTATCTAGGTCTTTTTCAACGATTGTTCTTGCCGGAGACAAAGAGTTAAACTTGTTGGCTTGAGTCACTGTTTTATTCCTAATCTTCATAAAAGGCTGATTGGTAGATTCTGAATCTATTGAACAGCTTCAAAAAAGTCATCCTAAAAGGAGAATTCATCTCCAACTTTCAGTAAAGGTTCATCCATCGTCTGATTATGAAAACGTCAGATCAACTTGCATGCAACGTGCAGTTCAGCATTCAACAGGTTGAGTTTGTCGGCCGACCGGAAATTGGAAATCACGCGTAAGCGGGCACTGAGCCGTGATCTGGGCTTCGGCGTTTTATCTAATAC